TATTCTTTTCATTGGTTCTCATTGCATTTAGTTTATAATATATACTGCTTGCCATGGTGTTATGGACTGAATTGCATCCTCCCTAAATTCCTAAATTGAATTCCTAAACCCTAACGCTACTGTATCAGAAGATGGGACCCATAAGAAAATAAATTGGGTTAAATGAGGTCATAAGGGTAGGTCCCTGATCAGATAGGATTGGTGTCTTTAAGTGACACCAGAGCTCAGTCTTTCTCAAACTCTCCTGTGTACCCAGAGCACTCACAGAGGAAACATCTGAGCACATGCCAGGAAAAGAGGCAGGCCTCACCCAAAAACAAATTGGCTAGAACTTTCGTCTTAAACTTTCTAGCTTCTGAAACTGAGAGAATAAATTTCTGTTGTTCAAGCCACCCATCCTATGGCATCTTGTTATGGTAGCCCAAGCAAACTGAAATTACATAGTATACGATTTCTTCTGTATCTGTAATCCGGTTCTTACTGTCTTCTCCAAGTTGTCCTTTCTACCCTCACATCCCGTATCCCATCACAGATAACTTCCTGAATTTTGCAGAATTATCATAATGCTTCTAAGCCATGGAACATGAAGGTCCACTGTATTCCCAATGCCTAACTCCTCCTTATGAGCCTGGCTAATGCCTACCTTTTCTTCAAACCTGAACTGAAATGTGGTCGGCAACACTTCCCGATGCCCTACAACCACATCTATCATAAAAGTCATCATGCTCCACCAAAATTATCCACTTCACTGTTTCCTGAAATAGATTCTAAAGAAAGTGGCCACTTTTTAAATCTCAGAATCCCTGCCTAGAAGGAACATATTGAATGTTTGAATAAATTAGTGATAATATTTTTAGTTTAGAGAGCACTATCTTCTTTCTCTGCCATTTGTCAGCTGTTGCTCTAAGATTATCTGTTTCTCTGTACATGAGTGTCCTTATCTGTCAAACTAAAAGAATGACATAGTGGTTGTAGATTGCTGAAAGATTAATGATCATGTGGCTTACACCCCTGGGTAGTACCTCTAAAGGGCTTGATCACAGGTGGTTGAATCTAAGTCAAGTTTATCCATCTTCTGAAAACCAATTCAATTCTACATGTACAATAAGATCTGCATAAAAATCCACAGGCAGAATTCACAGTGCTCTCACTTTTTCTCTCATAGACTTTGCATTTATCTTAATAATGCATTTATCAGTTTTCCTAACACTGGACTGATTTATGCACATGCCTGCATCCTCTCAGCTAGTGATAAGCCCAGGAGGCAGGGACCAGGTGTTTTCCATCCTGCATCTACCATACTGCCTAGTGAGTGTGTTACACGTGGAAGGTACACACAGGCACATGCCAAAGTAAGAAACACAGAAAGGCAATATCTCCTGTGTGTTGTGAGATCTTGTCTCTAATAGACTAGACTTTTCACAATATTTGTCATATATTAATAATACTAATTAAAGCTGCTTAATCTGCTACTAGTCTTCCCATTTCAGGGTTATTTAGCCTTTTATTAGTTAAGATTGACTATAAGCTATGATTTATTGATAAGGACTCCTTTATTTTTTTTAAATGGACTTGAATTCAAAAAGACACTGAGTCAGATGGTCTAGTCAGCAGGATGATAAGAGAAAAAACATCTCTCTCACTCTTTCAAGATTCTGGTCTTTCTTTAGCACCCCCTATTGTCAGAATCTAAGAAGTGGTAAAGGAGAAACATCTAAATTCCAGTTCCAGCATTGTAAACTAAATCAGATTAGGGGAAGAGAGTTTTGAGCCGGGAGACAATAGCATATTAAAATGCACACTGGTAATTAATGACAGTGAATGAACTTTTTACATGGCACTTCTCTTAGCTAGTTTAGTTTCAATTCCATATTTTCAATCATGGCAGGGTATAGCTTTCACTGGTGGTACGCAAGTGTCAGTGGGATTTTAAACAACCGCCAATTTTGTCATCAATTGGAGAGACTTTTGTTTCTAGAAAAGAGTGGATCCTCTACCAAATGGGTTTAAGACTTTGTCTTTAAATATTTAAATAAATTACTTTAAAATAAAAGAGGAAGTTAGGAACAGGAAAAGATTCTTGCAAAAATAAAGACTGGGGAGGTTGGATTTCAACTGTTCCACTGCAGAAGTAATGTGAAATCCAGTATAAGTGCTATTCCACAATAAAAATGGCTTCTGTGCCAGAAAATTGGCGGGTGCTAAGTTTCTCTAATTATAGCGGTACTGAAATGCTGGAGTATAGATATGACAGCAAATGTATTAGTTTGATAGATAAATTATGGACAATATTCTGCTGACTTCCAGATACAACGTTCAAGGTGGCCTCGGCTAGTAAATACAGTGGAAAACATATCCTCACACATTTGCTTCATGCCTGAAAAACAAGTAATTTAGAAGAAGACATCTGGAGACAAAATTTGAGCTGGACTCAGAGCCCATCAAAACAGGATTTGATGGCTTGGCGTCTGGCTGCTAAGCAACACACTTCTTACATTCAAAACAGAGTTGTAAAAGTAGAAGCCTGCAGCCAACTCTGTGTATTTCTCATTGAAATAGAAATAGGGGAGAGAGATTTTCTTAAGGCCTTAAGATATCTGATTTCCATGAGATAGATTAACCAAGATCATCTCTCTTCCAGCCTTTTCTGTTTTTTACTCTCTGAAGAATGAGGCAAAAATCAACTCTACATTTGGAATATTCGCAAGTGAATACTGCATAGAGGTCTTGAAATACTTGTCTCAGCCGCCTAATAACACTCTTTTAAAATTAGCTGCATATATTCATAATACCTTGTTGCAACTTGGCTTTTCAAACTACTGGTTTTTGTGAATTCCAATGTGTAGACTAGAAGGCCAACTGGAAACTCAGTGAGATTTTCTTTCCTTAAAGTATGCTTCTGCTTGGCAAGGAGACCAGGGAGGACCCATGTCAAATACTTCTCATGTGTGAAGCAGTTTGAAAACAGTATGTTATTACAGTACTTATTAAAATTAAGATAGT